TAGCACACTAAACAGAGACGCTAAAGGGACAATAAAGGGAATCTTTATAACCTATAAAAATATTTTGGGAGAAAGTGTTAAAACATTTGAATGATTATTGTATAAAAAAATAACACGGTAAATATATTATACAATATACAATATTTTATACAAATAATCTAAGAGGCTGTGCTACACCTCCATCAGCCAGCAGAGGGCGACAGCGGCACACAGTGTGAGCAGCAGAGCTGGAGAACTCAGTTACCCAGAATTCTCCAGGCTGATTAACCTGGATTACCTGCAGCTGCCAGGCAGGATATTTAAGGCCAGTTTTTGCCAGCGTCCTTCGTCGCACCTTTGTAGAGGGGTGACTGGTACGGTATGTCAGGGCTTTGGTAGAGGTACGAGTAAAAGAAAAGCAGAAAGAAAGTGAAGGAAAGACGGGACCTGAGAGATTTAAGGCATGGCCAGTCAACGAGAAAGAAAATAAGGCAAAAAAATAATAATAATAAGACACAAAAGAAGAGAGAACTAACGTTAAAAAATACACGTCCCAAGATTTGAAGAAGTTGTTGCAGGGCTCTATTCCCCTTTTTAATGTTTTATTTGTCCTTATTTAGTAAGGCAGTGTCCTTTATTTTTTTATTTATTTTTTTTTGAGTACGCCATTTTGGCATCTCCTTTGTTTTCGCCTCTTTTTTAAGCTAGGGGCGCAGGGGTAGCGCGCGCATCTCTGAGTGCAGCGGTTGCTGGTTCGAGTCCCGCTCGTGACTCTTACAAAGTGTACAAAACACACTCAAACCCTTCCCTAAACCTTTAACTTACCTAAACCCTGCTTGCCCATTCATTTATAAGCAAGCATGGGTTTTCAGCCTGCAGTTGGGTCTACACTGAACTGTTCCGTAACATACATAACACATAAAATTCTATATTATAGATCTGAGAAATATATCTATGGAAAAAATTACACTATAGAATATTATGCACTTACTATACAGTCTTCTCTGGAAATATTGGAATTGTGAGGCCAATTCTTTTGTTTTTGCTATGCACTGATGACCTCTAGCTTGTATTTTTGTACTGGGACTGTATTATTGTACAGAAATACACTATTATACATACTACAAAACCTGTAATATAAATGTAATATACATTACTGTGCAAAAGTCAGAGGCACATGCAAAGAAATGCTGTAGAGCAAAGATGCCTTCAAAAATAATGAAACTAAATGTTTCTACGTTTAAACAATATTTGGTGTGACGGTCCTTCTCTTTAAAAAAAAAAAAAATAGTAGTCTCAGGTGCAGTGTGTGCAGTTTTATAAGGAAATGAGCTGTAAGTGTTACTGAAAATCTTGCAGAAGCAGCCGCAGTTCTTCTGGAGACTTTGACTGTCGACTCGCTTCTTATTTTTGCAGCAAAACCCAGCAGCCTTCATTCTGTATTTTGTCTGAAAAGTGTCTGTCATCTGCTGCTTTCCTTACTGACATACAAACATTTTTCTGTAGCATTTAATTTTATGCTTGAAAAATAATGTTAGGAAATCTAAAATGTTTTTGTACTGAATCAATAATGTAGAAGTCATAAAATACAAATCTATAACAAAGTCTGTACTAAAAAATGTAGGGTGCCTAAGACTTTTGCACAGTACTGTATATTTAAGAAACTGTCTATCTACATAATACCGCAAAACAATACTCAAGAAAAGCAGTCAATCCCTACTCCCTTTAAAAATGGGGAAAAGGTTATAGGTTATAGAATACGGACAATGATCTATTTAGGCAAGTTAAAAAAATTCAAGCTGAGAAATACAATCACAGATAGATAGATAGATAGATAGCATTTATTGTCATTGTATTTCTACAACGAGATGAATGGAATGACGGGTCACATCTTCCCCCTATAAGGAGAGAAGAGGTCCTTAAAGCAGCCATGCCAGGCGCTAACGTCCTCTCTCATCCGCGATAGAAGAACATTAACAGAACAGTCAAAGCAATAAACAAAGTCACAAACACAT